CTCAGTCTATCAACACTGGAACGTTCCTCTTCAACTTGTTGTTGAACATGTTGATCGCCTTCAAGAGCCGCTTCCTCACGTGTAACATTTTCATCTGCGACTTTTTTCGATGCATCATGGGCAGCATTAATATCCGATAGATGTTTGAAAGAGTCGTTCATCCTATCATATTGTCAATAGTTCATCAAATCAAAATTGCCATCCTCCATTCCATTTGATTTGTCGACAATCTTAAACAACTTTTCAAACTTCTCATCAAAATATTCCTAGAAGAAAATTACTAACAATGATTAATCTAAATGACATTAGCAGAAAAAAAAGACTTCTCTATAAATTAGCTTACCTTGACTTTTATCAAAACCGCATCCACAATAGCAGGCCGCTCATCCCGTTGAAACCGCTCGACAACTTCTTTCGCGATCATGTGTCTTTCTTCTTCTGCATGCCTTTGAACCTCCATCATTACCCTCTAGTATAGAGACACAGAACAAAACTTCAGGTATAAAAGAATGCTGAAGTTCAGCAAAGACAGAACACAACTTCAGCTATTAGAATGCTGAAGTTCATCACAAATAGAACAAATCTTCAGCTAAAACATGCTGTAGTTTTACAAAAACACAAACCCAAAAAACTTCAGCTCAAAACTTATAGAACATATTGTGTTGACTAATTCATTGTCAAACGCCGTTGTAGAACGGTTAGAACGACTCTGGGTACGAGGTGATTTGCCAATTATAGGAGTTCGATTGGCTTCTTTAGATCAACTCTGACTACGTGGTGATTCACCAGTTGAAGGAACAGCATTAATTAAGTACCTTTGACGAATCCGGCTGCATGGTAATTGTCCAATTAAAGGCATTGAATTCAATTCCTCTTCTGTAGGAATTATATCCAATACCCTAAACGTGCGATATCTCTGTTTTGTACAAAAAAGTATATTATGAAAATAAAATAAAACTAATACGTCAACATATTAACACAACTACAAAAATAAAAAAAACATTAACTTACAGCATGATTACTGAAGTAATCCTCATAAAGTTCATTAAATTTAGGCTCTCCCACACATACATAACGTAACATCCTGGGAACCCGAGGGGCATCAAGGTACTCGTCCTCTCTTAAATACTTCTCCCGAATATCTGGGAAGCGCTCATAGAACCAAGCATATAACGGAAATGGAAATCCACCAACATTATACTCAGTTGAATGATATTTGTCCTGGTTGTCCAATGCATGTTTCATTGAGGTAATGAGCTTCTCATAAGACACATTACTCCAAGGATATTCAGCACAAGCCTTATCATCTTCAGCAATAGCTGCATACTCCTCCAGCACAGATGATTCATTCTTTTTTCCAAACAAAATAGACTCCACAACAAGAATTTCCATAAGCTTCACAGCATCTTCATCACTCTCGCATACGTGTTTGAAATTCACACATCCTTTTGAATTTCATTCTGGCACATAAAATCTCGAATGTGCCAGAATGAAAGTCTTCAAGGGTGAAGGATACATCATGGCCAAAAATATTGAAACTAATGGAGTCTCGATCATTGGTGAATATTCGAGAAAGACACAAACAATGAACCGACTTCATGCTGCATTTGAAATTCTCCATAGCCATAATATACCGAAATGTACCATTATTAAGCTTATCCTGTTGTGCAAGAGTCAAGAATCTTGTAATCAAACTCTTCAAATCGTAGTAACCACGACAGTTAAACCAATCTCGAAACTCATAATATCTATCCCCTGGTTTTATAGGTGGAGCAACAGGGACCGAAGGACCTGTGGATATTCTACGTTGTTTAGGTGCTTTAGGATCTTTAGGTGCTTTAGCAGCTTTAGGTGCTTTAGGATCTTTAGGTGCTTTAGGATTTGTAAGTGATTTGGATTTTGTAGATGCCATCTGTTCAAAAAAAGTAAAATATACAAAAAATAATGTCAGAACATTATCAAAAAAATCAGTTAAAACTTCAGCTCTAAGAAGGCTGAAGTTCAGCAAATATAAAACAAAAACTTCAGCTCCTAAATGCTGAAGTCCAGCAATTACAAAACAAAACTCAGCTCCTAGAATAATGAAGTTCACCAGTTACAAAATAAAAACTTCAGCAAAAACATGTTGTAGCTTTTACAAAAAACAAAACACAAATTCAACTCCAAAATAATGCTGAAATTCATAAAAAATATAACAAAAAAAACAAAACACGAAACAAAACTTCAGCTCCTAAAACTAAGGTATCCTTGAAGTATTATAAACTTCACACTTTAATTGTATCATCTATCTAACTCTCAAAAAATTTAAAAATTTCGACGTCTCCAAAAATCACTGAAGAATTTGTAAAATTTTTATCAAAAACACAAACACACATTCAGAAAACTTAAAAACACAATCGTAAAAGTAAAACTAATGCACTAATCAAAGTAAACCCTAGGAAACTATTTTATCATAAATACATGACTATCAAAACCAAAATCAGAAATTAAATCGTAAAAATTAATACTAAAATAAAATCCAGAAAGTTAATGCAATGTACCTGTGATTATACGTAATGTTATTGGGGAACAAACAGTTGAAAAATCAAAAACAATGACGAAAGCCGTTTGATTTCAGAGAAGAACAAATCAAAAAACGCGAATAACGGGAGAGAAAGACAGAGACAGTATAGGACTGGCTTATACTTGGAGAGAAAGTAGTCTTTTAATAAAGAATGGCAAAATAGTCTTTTTAAAAGCTTTTAACAAAAAAAAACGGGTACGGATGCAAACAGAAAAACAAAGCGACTACAGGTTAAAAAGAGACGACCAAATAGGGCGCCCAATGCAATTTTTACTTCAGTCTCATAAAAAAGATAAAGTTCACTTTGAATAGCTTAAATATAGGACCTTTAAAGAAAATAAAGCTGCAATGAAGACAGAAAAGATGGCATACATTCTCTAAGATGGATTAATCCAAAAGAATGGCATTTCATTTTTCATGTAACCATATACCTTCAACTTGAGACAGAACTTTTAGGCAAAGATATTATGGACCAATTACTACACTTACTGGAATATTTTCATATCAACTACAATCTTAAAAATAAAATAAAAACTAAGGTAAACAACATATCATGCAAAGGAGATATACAAACAAACATTTATAAACATAAGACCGATTTCAAAAAGAGCCAGAAACATTCAAATAAGCTATGAACTCATGCTTCGTTTACTGGACTCAGAAACTACATTATATGGTTCATTACAATCAGGGCGTATGCAAATGATTTTTTAAGCGGTGTCAACATTTAAAGATGTGAGCAACTGAATGGATTATAGCAACAACGACATTGAAAAGAACATACAACTTAGATACTTTATTAAAAATCTCCTCAACAAGCTTTCATCATTAAAAAAACAGAATGAGTAGCTTTGTTATTGTTGAAATTAAAAAAATCTGTTCCAGTATGATTTAAATGTTATTTGTCATTATAATAGACGAAATAGACCACCTATAGGTTTTTGTTTGCTCTTACCAGTTGAAAGAGGTCAGCATTTCAACCCTTGTTGACATCAAAGTTTACACTGAAGAGAGGTTCAAAATCTTTTAAAAAGGGCAGCTACACGTTCGAACCACCCTTCTGTCATACGGAATGGTACCGCTTGACCAACGACCTAATGACCTAATGCGGTTTTTCATTTCAAGCAGTGTCATTTGGCTTCTTTTATATTATCCGTTTGTATTTCAATTGACGGCATATCAGGGGAGTCTCAACGAAATCGGAGGCCTAAAACCAAAATTTAAGAAGATGTGAGGAAATAACATTAGTAATATGATAATGGTTGGACAAATTGATACGATTAATTTAGATAACCAAGAAAAAAGTTATATGGTCTTAACAAATTTTCTTTTAAGTTTTAAAGTTTTCTTTTAAGTATTCCACAGTATAACATTGTCTAATATTTTAATATTTTGAGTTAAATTATCCAAATATTCATATCTACTAATAAAATATTTGATAACTAGAACCAATGTAGTGTATTGAAACAAAATGTTAATGTTTTGTTTACTTAGAAAAATCTTACTAATAAAAATAATTATAACTGATAGAAAAAATTTGGGAGGCCTTTGACTCTTGGGGGCCTAAAGCAGAAACTTTAGTGGCCTTACCCTCGAGCCACCCATATTGCATATCAATATTTAATAAAATTTTACGGTCGACACCGCTTAAGCCAAGGTGCGTCCACCCCTGATTACAATGACGTATCTATATTACAAGGTCAAGAATATACCTGGTTTGCAGATTCAAAGTAAAAGCAACAGTGATGAACTATGCCCGAACTAACAGCTATGGAATGCAGCTTAAAATCAGTAGCAACAATAGTGAAATAAACCTAGAAATAACCCAAAATAGACATTGAATCTCAACAACTTTCAAAGAAAGAAGAACCCAGAAACTAACTTCGGAACCTTTTAATGTTTTGGAAGGTTTTTTGCTTTTAAAATGCTCTCAGTTTTGTAACTCAAAGATGCTGAAAATCTGTCCTCAAAACTCAGAAGAGACGACTCTCTTTTATAGTAGTAGAAGGGTCTAAGGGTTAGGTTTTTATTTCACCCAAAACTTGTCCAAAATGATGAGAAAGGACTTTCCTTTATTCACAAGTAAAAAGCTACTAACTTGTGCTCTAATTCTGATATCCCTCTATTACCCCTGCCTTAAACTTTAATGTTATCCCTACTGATTCAACAATCACAATAGCAGAAAGTTCACAAACTAAACTTCTTCAACTCATTCGTATCCAACTTAGACCATTCAGCTATTTAAAGCAGAAAATACCTACTGAGTATTGTTAACAAAGAAAACTAGACTTAAACATGTATTTAAACTAATCCGTTAAGGAAAATAAGAATAGTTGAATATAATAGACAAACTAATCAGAAATATCAACTGCGAATCAAATCAACATAACCAACTAATTGAATATAACAGACAAACTAATCAAAAATATCACCAGCTATATACAATTACCAAAAGAATTAAGGAACTCGTAGGTCCTTCACAAGCTCATCAACACCTAAGCTCAGTTACCATCCAAAAAGAATTTAGGTAGCAATCCAACTATATGCAATTACCAAAAGAATTAAGGAAATCATAAGTCCTTCACAAGCTCAGCGCCCAATCTCAGTTACCATCCCTTCAGCTGCCCCTCCATCATACAAGAAGAAATTTTTAATTGGCTTTCCTCCAGTGTTATAGTGTATGAAATCCTGCAGAGAAAAGACATTAGCAAAGAACTTCAAGAAGCATTAATGAAAGACAAAAATTCACATAATTACCTGTGCCATAATAGCTCCTACTATGGAAAAGATATCACAAGTAGTACCTCCCACTAATTTTGGGATAATAGCATCAGGGATTGAATCAGGAGCAAAATGCTGCAATTAATTGGCTATAGGGTTACCAACACTGAGAAAGAAATCAAACTTGTATATATGCATATAATATAATACCTGTTTAGCACAGAACTAATCTTTGAATGTCTTAATATTTTCAATATCAGCATCATACAATTCTCCTAGAAATCGCCCATTTGTGGCTTCAAAATTCTCAGCAACTGCCGGGAAAAATATTATAGTTCACATACAAGATCATTCCAGTATTATGAAACCGAGTAGGAAACACATACACCGCATGGCATAATAGACCTTTGACATTCCCTGGGGTAGTTCCTGCGATGGAACTGCAATTGCTCTCTGCAAATTAAATTAAAAACAAAAAAAGATTAAACCTTGGGCATTGCAAATAAAAACATTATCAAAATAAGAAAAGCCAGTAAAATACACCTCAGAACTAGGGAATTCCAGAATGGTATCCACTGTTTCACCAAATAATCTCTGCAGAAAGAAAATAAATTACTTTAGTAAATCTAGTATTAAATATTTAGGGTGGAGGGGGAGGGGGGAAGGGGGAGGAAGAACTTGACCTCAGACTTGATTTGATTGTTCGGATCCACAAAGATCTCAGCCAGAAAGCCCCTACATTCTACACTGTAGAATGCTACAGGTTTAGGCAGTTGGAGTAATCTCAAATTTAATTCACTCTGCAAAAAAAACATATTAGTTGGGCAAATGGTTAAAATTTATAAAATAATGTGTTTATTCTCTTATTATTTTCTTCTTTGAGCAATAACTAATTATAACAGCATCAAATTCTTGAAGCTCAGCATCATTCAAGTTTGATAGACTTCTAAAAAGTAATCCACATAATACACTCATGAAGAAACAAATAGCTTATACACGTGTAGAAAACATATGAACTGAGTAATTAAGGTGTTACCATATGTCTCTTTGTTACACTAACTACTCCCACCTATCAACTTTAGTTGATTTTTGATTTTTTTTATGGTCCATAATATTTGATTTTATCCAATATTAAGAAGGAATTAATTACTTTTTTACTAAGTTGTCATTGGAGTAAAGAATCTAAAAGTATTTGCTGCATTTCCAATGAACAAATTAAAATTAATATAGTCAATTTCATTGTTAATTAATTCTAAAAGGTTAATTCCTTAATATGTATAAATACGATCAAAAAAAAATCAATTAAAGTTAACCGTAAGTAGTAACTAAGAGACCACAACAGTAATTCCTACAGTGCCAATATTATGAACCCAAAAACCAATGTGTAATTCTTCAAGTCTGTTTCTCTAAATTAATTCGGTAATCAAATAGACTTTTAGCGAAACCCTAAAACCCTAACGAAATCTTGTAATGGCTTAAACAAGAAAAATTCAAATAAGGAATGACAATTTTTGATAGAAACTATAAGAAAAATAAAAAACCAATAACTCACAACAGTATATTATCATCTTTCTTTTTCTATAAGTATATAAACTTTTCAAAATTTTCCATAAATTCACCAAAACAAGAAATAACCTCAATCAGTGTGCCGACCAGTCCGCTCATCGGAACTTTTTCTGCAGCTAGCCTACATTGGAAGCTTTCATCAATTTTCGTATTAAAAACAAAAATCAATAAATGTATGCAAGTGGGCAGAACTAATTACTTCCTCCGTTTCAAATTAAATGAGGTAGTTTGACTCGGCACGGAGTTTAAGAAAAAAAAGAAAGACTTTTGAAATTTGTGGTCTTAAAAGATTAAGGGGTAAAGCTTTGTGGGGTGACTTTTGTGGGGTTATAAAAGCTTCTCATTACGGGTAAAATGGGTAAAATGAGGAGTTTAAAGTTGAATTATTTCCAAATTTAGAAATATGTCATTTATTTTGGAACAGACTAAAAAGGAAAGTGTCTCATTTAATATGAAACGGAGGGAGTACCTTTTGATGTTTGAAAGTTGAAATTTCAAAGATTCAATTTCTTGATTCACGCCAAGTATTGGGCGCTCAATTCGAGAATCAGCTTGATAGAGATATCAGTTCCTTTCATCAACTTTATCGAAAAAAGTATTAAATTGGGAATACCCAAAAACTTGCTGAATTTTTTCGTATGTCATCGCTTTCTCTCTGGGAAGACTATTCAAAAATTTGCAGTTTGATGGACATCTGGCTTTGCGTTGTTTGCAGACTGCGCATCTATGTCTACGATCCATAGGGAATAGGTTGGAACAGAGAATGAAAAGAGATGTACACAGACAATAGAAAGAGATGAATGATATTTGTAAATATATACTTGGCGGAAGAAACTTTAGTTATAAATTATAGAATATTTACGTAAGGGCCCTTAATTTATAGATTAATTCCTGAAAAACCCCTGAATACTAAAAACAGGTGTTGCTATTACCCTTGAATAAACATTTTCTTCCCTCTTTATAATGTGTGAAAGTTAGTTATTAGGCCAAAAAAATATTCATGTGGCATTTAACATTTATTTTTAGATTGACTATTTTTCTTATTTGTAATTTTTCTTCTTTTTTTTTAAATTTTCTTTTTTTCCTTTTCAAATCTTTTGCTAATAAGAGTAAACTACATGAAATTCATAATCTTAAAATAATAGTAACATCAAAAATAAATAATCGAAGAAATAAATCTAGTGGAAAATCACAATTGAATTTTATTGTAACAGTAAACGCAGTTAAAATAACTCTATAATAACAATAATACAAAAAAGTAAAAAAAATAAAAAAATCAATTATTGAACTTTAAAGTGTAGGAAAATTTTCTCATATTTGTTCTTTCTTCTTGACTTATCTTAATTTATTAATTTCTTGTTTTCTTTTTCAAGATCTAACAACTATTTATTCATAATAGAAAATCTAGTTAAGATCCCAAATACAACAATAAAGTAAAAAATTTTAATCAATAAAAATAAACCTAATTGCAAATTAGAACATAATTTACTCAATAATAATGTACAGAATTGTCACGACCCCAATTTGCCTACGTAGGATATCGTGACGGCACCTAGTCTCTAAGATTAGGTAAGCCTAACAAACATGCGGAAGTGAAAGAAACAATAGTTAAAAATCTCCAAACTCAACAACATATATAAAAAGGAAATCTCTACAGCTCAATGTGTATACAATAGCCCAAAACCCGGCGTAATACAAGTCATAAGCTCTATTGCAATACCAAAATCATTTCTATACAACTGTGTCTAGCAGAAAAAGGAAAAATATAAAAGGAATATAAGGGGACTCCGAAGCCTGCGGACGTGGGCAGATGTACCTTGAAATCTCCAAATGCAAACTCACTTCACTAGTATCGGGACTGATAGGAAGTACCTGGATCTGCACAAAAGATGTACAAAAGCGTAGCATGAGTACACCACGACGGTACCCAGTAAGTGCCAAGCCTAACCTCGGTAGAGTACTGACGAGGTTAGGTCAAAGCTCTACTGAAAATAATAAGAAACATGACGATAGATATAACAATACCATGGTAATGACAATGGAAATGAAACAAATAAGGAATTTACCAAAAGTTAACTACACAAAATCAAGGCAGATTATACAACATGGAAGGAAACAAGGATTGACATGTTAAGGAAACAAACAACCAAGACAAATACAACAAATAGAGAAAGATCAACAAGGGCCACTACCGAGATACCGCTTCGTAGTCCCAAACCACAAAAATAACTCACAGTCTTTCCTTATATCACCGCGGGAGCCTTTACATTTAGTTTTGAAAATAACTTTTCTCGAAATAGCATCCCGCGTTTTAGCCACCTTATCACACCGCATGGCTTCTAGTAGTTCCCCTACTAGCCACGCGTATCAAGTCCATCTTATCTCACCGCATGCGTTTCAACCCCAGACCTTATACCACCGCATGCATATCAATATCACATTATATCACAAATCGCACCTCAAGTGCCCAATATCACACCTTGCCAGAGAAACCAAACAATAACAAAATTTTACAATAAGGAGACCACGGCTCAACCACAATGTACACAACGTTTTAAAAATAACAACCAGAAGAATAACTCGATAGAATGATATTTCACCACTTAACACTTTGCCTCAATAGGAATCACGACATTTGCAACTCAATACCAATTTCAATGATAAAATATTCGAAGAATAGCAATTTCAAGTAAAGAATTCAAAAGTTAAATATGAATACGGGATAGAGAAAACAAGAACTTCAACTAGAACCGGGAATTTCCACATTTAGCCCGTATATACAGTCGTCACCTTGCGTACATGGCCTTCACATATCACAAGTTTCACAAACAAAACCAAATCCTAAGGAGTAATTCCCCCAGACAAGGTTAGGCAAGTCACTTACCTCAAACCACGCTAAATAAATCAACTAGAAGGCCATTCCCTCGATTATCCAACTCTGAACGGCTCGAATATAGACAAAATAATTTCATACTATAAATATAACTATAGGAAACTAATTCAAACAATAAAATTACGATTTTTGCGAAGAATTGAAAAGTCAATCGAAAAAGTCAACCCGGACCCGCATCTCGAAAGCCGGCCAAAATTATAAAATCCGAGCACTCATTCGATATCGAGTCCAACCATACAAGAATTACTCAAATCCGACCTCAATTCACCTTTCAAAACTCAAAAACTTAGTCTAAGAAGTTTCTAGCTTTTTTTCAATTTCCAACTCCAAAATACTAATTAAATGAAGAAATTATCAGTAGATTCATGTAAATTAACCAAAACCAAGTTAAGATTCCTTACCCCAACGACCTCTCTGAAAACCCTCGAAAAATGGCCTCCTACCGAGCTCCCTAAGTCCAAAAATGAATTATGAATCAAACCCTCAGAATTTCCCCTTTTTTGCCCAGGTAAATCACACCTACGACCCAACTGCCGCATTTACGGCTCCGCACCTGCGGAATTCCCATCACAGGTACGGCCATGACTTAACTCAGCAACCTCCTCTTTTGCGAGAACAAGGCCGCATCTGCGCATGCGGCAAATAAGTCCCACCTGCGAACCAGCCCGCACCTATGCTTCGTTCCATCGCAGAAGCGACATCGCTTCTACGGAGACCATAACATTTCTGCGATCCACAGCTCGCTCTTGCGAGTCCGCACCTGCGGCCAGGCCCTCCATAGGTGCGATGACACCAGAAGCTGGAAATCTTCAGCAATCCAACAAGTCCAATTTTGTTCCGGATTCGATCTAAATCACACCCGGGCCCCGGGCCCCGGGGACCTCGTTCGAATATACCAACTAGTTCCAAGTTATATAA